TGATCTTGAGCGACGAATATATATAGTATAAAAATATAACTTTAGTAATATAACAATGTGCAACTTAACGGAGAACAGTGTTTGCTAGCTCGCAACAAGGATCGGTGCGGCAAGCGGGAAAATATTGTCGTGGAGAGTAATATAGTAGAAGAAATGTCACCACAAATCAATACCCCAGTCGTCGCTGAGGTTGTTGATACGCCAGCGCCATCAGCAATTTCAAGCTGTTGGATACTCGGTATCGCGCACTTACGCTATGATTGAAACTAAGCGCTGACGTTGACGTAGCAATCTCTGTTGTGATTGTGCGGCTTTTGATTTTCTGAGTTGAATAATGTATCTCCAGCCGAGGAAACAAAGTGGGCAGTGCTAGTAACAGATATGTTTAGCTGAAAATGATCTGATCTTCGATATGTGAAATCGCCATCGAAACCAAATGGGGTGTTAGAGAACATTAAGACTGAAATTATAGAGAAAGTGGGGGGTAAACAAGATTGTCTTCATTCGGTTAAGCTGCTGACAAGGAACAACCAACTTGTCTAGGTAACCCACCAAACATTGTCAAACGTATGCCGGTACCTCTTTGCGCCTGGACGTTATGAGAATCATTTTTAGTGATTCTCGATCGTAGCGTCCTATTGTCTCGGTTTATCATATTTCCATACGAGCCAATGCCCGAATTTCTTCAGGTATTTCCCTGAGGATTTCCCCAAGTTCTTGAATACACTTCTCTCTTCTTGCACGAGATCCTCTTTCTTTACGGCATCCTTGTCGACACCACGCAATAGTCGCCCGGCGTCCGCGCCGTGTATACCAGGTGATGCCTCATTTGCGAGCGTGGCTTGGTTGGACTCCATAGTCGTGGGGAGTGCGGAGCCGCTAGCGTGCAGAATGGCTGCTATCACCACTGGGAAGATGTAGCTGAGACGCATCTTTCAGTTGGATTCGGCTGTAGTGTTTGGTGGAGGATTCAACTTATGGACTACCGGGCGAATTGAAGAATGACATCGACAGCCAGGATAACATTAGACTGAAAATGATTTCAGCTCATTTACCGTAATATTCTTGATGTGCTACATAATGATTCGGCACTGTACATGTAACTGGAACTGCAGCATACTTTGTACTTAGCTTAAATGAGGTATACTGAGACCCATAAAATGAACAAATCCGCCCTAACAGTAACAATTGTAAGCAAGTTCCATTAATATTTTAATTAAAAGCAAAGAAAGCTTAAATACTGTATTGTGGAAATTCCTTAAGGAGCTTTTAACATCAACGTCGCAGCGCTGCCGTGGTTTACGATTTCCTCTGGCTCTGCGTAATCCTATGGATTTACTTATCTCTAAGATAACCAGAGCCAATGTGTAACACCCATATGGTAAATTTCGAAGTCTTCAGTCGTTGCGAGATTCATGCAAGCTGTATCCTTTAAAAGGCAGATATAGTTAGCTTAGCTTACCTCTACGTTCTAAATCGGAGGAGTTCGGCAAATCGGGTCCGATATGTTAGCGAGTTTTCGCAGTTTTCCATTCCTATTCCCACACATACGTATAAGATTCTGCAGGGATAAATCAAGCAAGACTTCAAATCTGTGGGAGAATACCTTGTTCCCGTATATTCGCCAGATCTATGGATATCTTTTCCATTCCCACAGACTGAAACCTTGGGAATGATATTGAGCAATTTCAAGAGTTGATGTGGGAGTGGATGTGGGAAGACTTGCAAAAACTATTGGGTCTCGGACCATCCGTTTTGTCAACATGGATAGTCCCCCAATATGTCATATTCATTAATTAATGATAATGAAAAGCGGAAACTAAAAAATATGATTTGCATCTCGAAGTGGCAACGGTTTTCGTGTGATCGAACTAATCCTTATCCAGACAAGATGGAACCCCACGTCCTAAATCACCAGTACTTTGCTCATATGACGCAATTGATTTTGATGTTACTACTGTTCGTATGAATGTCGCAACTGTTGGCATTTCAGCTGAGCGTTAGATGAAAGAGCCCACCTGAATCGATTTACAGCTATGATAGCAGTCTAAGTGATCCTGCATAACATATCTAAGACAGCCGTAAAACTCCTGCATGCATCGGAGTCACAACTATATGCTTATAACTTTGAAAGGAGTTTTGTTGCTGTTTTTGTTACCAGTACCATTAAACCACAGCCTTAGTTCTAAACCGTAAAATCACCATATCACGAAAAGAAAAGGGCGATTACATGAAGTATAGTGGTGCCACCCAACCTTAGTATAAATTTTGTTTGAAACCTTGTTTGCAATTTATCGAATATTACACTTTTAATAAGCAAAAATTGTAAAGTTCACTAATAATTTATATAGAAGATTTTTTTTCTACATCTGTCACTGAAGCCGCAACGCACAATAGAGGCTTTTAGCAGATTAGTTCGGTTTTCCAATTTTCGACCGAAAGTTCGGTTGCTCAAAATGGGTTGAATGTGCCTTCAGCATCAAATCGAAATGTGGAAAGCACCACGTGGTATTCAAGGTCAGTTTTGAGGACGAATCTACTTAAGAATAGCACAAACAAACTCGCAGGTACGAGCTCAGAAATAAATCTGCAGCCTGATCTAATGGTATTCCGCTTCACGAATGATCAGGATAAAGAGTTGCTGCGGGAGCTCATACGCCTCAAGTCTTTTGTAGCGGTCCGTGGTACAACACTGCGCGTATGGAGCGATGTTGCAGCTTCACTATCATCTGCCTTTGGTGTGGAGGTCAACGTGAAGCAGATTCGCGACCGGCTCACGCTTCTGAAGCAAATGTTCAAGGATCCGAAGCCGCTGCTGCTCTAGGTAGCGGGATCGAGGAGTCAGTTGATGCTGTTAACATCCAAAGCCACTACGATGAGCGCGAAGGGCTTGTACGGGAGTATGTGACGCTGGAGGACCACTTTAAGTCAGAGAAAAAAAAAACAGTCAAGGCCAAAAAGCAGAAAAAGGATGAACAATTAGCCATGTGTGCTGAAGAAATAGTTCGCAAAAGCGCCCGTCGCCGGGCACTTCGTGCAAAATCTGGCTCTGATGACTCTGTTAGTGATTGTAGTGATGCCGACAGCAGTGTTTCTCGTTGTTCGACAGTATCAGGTGCCTCATCACGAACGCCACGGTCGACACCAAAACGGATGAACGCATTTCAACAGGAGATAAAAAGGCAAGAAAAACGTCAGCGACAAGAGTTCGAGCTGAAAGAACAGGAGCTCCGTCAATCACAGCAGCAATTTGAGCAACGGCTCATTTTTGAAAAAGAACCAGATGATCAACATCTTCGCTTCCAAGAACGTTTACAGAAAAGAAATCAAGACCTCATCATTGAGTGTGTCAAGCTTTTTAGCGCAGCGATCTCTCGGAAAGACAATTAAAATGAATATAATCTGCCTAATTCCTGTTTGTCCTCAAATATTCTCTATTATCTGGTGGTTTGACACTGAAGTAGTCGCTTGCAGTATTTCCTCCACGAATGCATGTGATACAATTGGTCATTAAGATACCAACGCGATACATTTGTCCAACAGGTTGTGTACCGACACGAAGATTTGACTTGACGTCCAGCGTTTTCCAATAGTTCACCACTTGAGCATAAGACCACTCGACAGACACTCTGACCTTGCTAATCTTGCTGTTAATATCCTTTTGCGCCTCTGTAAGATTTCCAACTGCGCCTTCGAACGGGCTCAGCATCACATCGTCTCGGCCATAAGCACAGTCACCAAAAATTCGGTAGTCAACGAAACGAGAATCGCTACGAACCTTTTCAGCCAGGCCGGATTTGGCAAACATCTTAATGTCGTGGTTGCGGCCTGGGAATTGTCCGAATAGATGGATAATAAGTCCATCGGGGGTGGCTAGAGTCTGAAATTTGAGACAATGCTTGCGCATGTGACCATTGTAAACGGATTGCTGCATCAACATCTTACCAGTGCCATTTTGCCTTGGCTGTGGACGGCAAATACCTCGAACGGCGCCGTCAATAAAGCTCCAAATGTTCGTGTACGGGGATCCTGCTTCAAAGATTGCATTTGCGTACACACAAAGTCGTGTAGCTGCAATGTGACCGCCAAATGCTAGTAATCTCTTATACTTGACATCGAGAAAATTCAACGTGTGCAAGAAAATGTTTGATATCCCGCTCCCAGAGCGACCAAAGTAGTCTTGTAGCTCGGTTCCCGTACGGGAGCCGCCAGCCTATACAGCAAAATGCAAAGAGCTTCGATTGCTGGTGCTTTCGTTCTCTCTCTTGTTGTAGTGTCAGTCAAACCCATTAAATCAATGAGCATGACTAGTTCTGCTTTAGAAAACCTGAATCGTATGAGTGATTCATCCTCTGATACACTGTTGAAAATGAATGGCACAATTGGGGTAGGAACCGGTTTGTCCATTGCAGCCAACTCTGAAAAGAAAGCGGCAGCTTCCACAGCATTACCAGTCTCAAGGGCTTGAAGCAAGCGCTGATACATGTACGCTGCGCGATGATGACGAGGCACCCCCCGCACAACACTCCTCACAAACCACTTTATGTCACTGTCGAGCGCGTATGCCGTAGCTTCACCGTCACTTATAACAACAAGTTATCTAGGATCCATGGCAGGTGCCCTAGTGCACAAACAAACGTAGACACTTTACGCGCTCGTAGTGTCATCGTGATGGCCCCGAAGCCGCTAGCAGCATCCAGCGAGCAGAACCATAGGTAGATCTCAAGATTTGTCAGCAAGTCATCCACTAACGGCATCGCATACTCCATGATTCCGGTGATGACGTTCACAATCTTGTAATCGATGAAGAGCCGTATATCCAGAGCATTCTTTTTCATCACAAGCACAATCGGCGCCGCCCATGGGCTGTCCGAGAAAATGATGAGCCCAGCTTTAAGCAAGGCTCTTAACAATTTGTACAGCTTGCCGAGGTAGCAGAGCGACACACGCTGTTTAAGTGGGGCGTGCCCTTGTGTGTCGATGTCACATACCACACCGTGTGGCGGTAAAGCGTTGCCACTGGCAATGAGGATTCGTTCGCTCTTCTTCAGCGTAGCGACCAGTCGTTCTTGCTGATCAGTCGTCAAGCACAAGTTCTTGACATTCGGTACTCCGTAGTCAATGATCGTGTTGGAATCCTCCGTGAAATCTGGAAGGAACGCCAACTGCTTTGCGTAATCTTCCAAGCCGAATCTTGTTAGCTGGGTGTTCGTAATGGCCCACCCCTGGATCGCCAGCAGCCTCATTTCCTTCGATCGTCAACACTCGTGCTACCGACATGTAGGTCTTGTCCAGCACGGTCATTGCTTCCTCTGCCGACTTGGCCTCGACTTGAGACTCCACGCGAACAATCGCCCTTGTATGCATTTCCTATAGCGCAGCGTGTACTTCCTCTCGACCGGTGGTCGTGCCTTCCCTCTCACTAGTCGCAAAGTAAGAGGCTGATGAGCCACTGTCTCGACACTTGACATCCGAAACCGTCTTGGTCTCACCAGCCACTGAACTTGATGCATCACCTTCGGCACCAGACACCGACTGGACCCACGCTGATGTGTTCATCACCTTCTTTATACCTTGTAATTCTTGTGGGCGTCCAGCCGACTCTTCGTTGGCATCGCTGTCGTCACTATCGCTTGCTGAACCGCCATCCGACGAGTTTCCGTAGAATCGGATCTCGAACGCGTCCTTGCTTGTCACCCCAGAGTCTAGGCGACCTTCGTCTCGCTCTCGTTGCTCTAAAATCTTCTCCCAACGCCCGGCACATGCCAGACGATCTGCCGATACGTCCAACGCGTCTTCGGGCGACCTCTTCATGACTCCGACGGGTGTCGGATATGCTCGTCGTTCAACCGATGGAGGTTGGGTCGCCAGCCATTGTCCGTAAAGCTCGCACTCCCGTTTGAACAACCGTCGGTCGCGACAGTTCTCGTAGGCAAGCACTTGCCAGTCCTTGTACTTATTGGAGTCCAAACGCGCGTAGCCCACGGCTCGAGGCAGATCTCCGATAAGAACCAGCACGGCCAGTCTATTGAACGCTGGAACGTACGCTGATCGTTCCGAGACGTTCGTCAATCGGATGCGCATAGGCCGGCCACGGCGAAACGTCGTCACTGACGGGATGACCTTCTCTGTACGTCGAACCCACATTACATGTTGCTCCAGTCTCGCCGCTGGTTCCGCTAGTCGATACTCGCGAGACTCGTGGCCAGGTAGATCTAGAG